AGTTTTCCTCAATTAGTTTTCTCCAATAACCCAAAATATCTGACTTGCACAAGAGCTTGAATTTAAGCTCCTGTTTTGGAAACTCTTGGCCACTTTTATTTCCTGGTTGAAATCTTGCACTGTAAAATGCTTTTGCTTCGTGAAAACATTGCACAGTAATTGACTAAAGAAAATCCACTAAATAAAGGCAAAATGTCAGAAGCCTTTGTAGCTTTCACTTGCTACAGCAGGAAGGCACACTTTGATTATTTGAGCCACTCGCTGTCTCATTACAAACAAGTTATCATCAACTCCATCTGTAACACTGCTTCATTACTGTGCTTATTCATTCAGAATTGTGGAAGAAAGCAAGTCTGCCCTGGGAGCGGCCTTTTCTCAAATTGCAGGTGGGCGCAGGGTCATCTGGACAAGTCTGCTAAGTCTCATCAATGCAGTTTAACAACCCAGATTTCCCAGAGCTGGGCAGGCTGGCAGTCACTGCTGTGCAGGTAACACAGGATGCTGCGGCACCCAGTGCTGCCTTACCTGTAGTGGCAGCAGCTCTGCAGCCTTAAACCTGTGGCACGCCTGGGAGAGCCGAGGCTGCAGCAGGCTGCGGTGTGCCTGCAGCACCCATGTGCGTGGAATGCAGCTGGGACATGTGGCAGGTGTGTGCATGTGAACGCTGCATGACTGACCTCAAATATGGGCTATGGGCTCAGACCTGGGCTTGGCCAATTCCATCATTGTTGTTTTTGGAGCCTGTAAGGATCACCTTTCTTCTGCAGGCTAAAGCCCCACTGTTCATTGTTAGATGCTTGTGATTTCTCTTGGCTGACTTGGTGCTGTCAGAGTTTCACTGGCCTAGAAAATGACAGGAGGCTTTTGAGCAAGAAAGATCAAGAGCAGAAATAAAATCTATTTTTAATCCTGCCTCTATTTTCCATGGGCCATACAGTTTCTCATAGCGTGGCAGTTCTGGAGCACGTGGTGACACAGAGCGCTCCTCGTGGGTTGTTGCACAGATTCACATGCTTTCCCCCAGCTGGAAATTTCAGTCTGGAGGAGGTTATCGTACTGCTAATACTTACATGGCACTCTGATTTATTGCAGTAGGTTGGCAATATATATGTAGTAACAGAAAACATAAGAGAGGCATTTAAAGAAGTACTGGAGCATTAACAAAGCTGAACCACGTCAAGTGATGATGAATTTTACACTGCACCCTTGATCACCCTGTTATTAATGCCATCAATCTCTCTCTGTGAAAAGTGGCAGCACTTATTAGCTCTGGCTACGACCACAATACCAAATGTTCTACTAAATAATTAATCATTTGAGGTATGATGCCACAGTTTGCCTCTTTCCAATTGAACCGTATCAACTTACTCATTTGTTCCTTTATTTGGAATCAAAAAGCTTCACGGGCAAAAATGAGTCAAATGTACTGATATGTACGTGCAGACTATTCAGCATAGAGATCTCATGCTGTTTCTTCCAGGAAAAGCAAAAAGCCAAAAATCAAAAGACAATCCATCCTTTAAAACAACACCCCCAAATTAATAGTTCTGGGAATGATGACCTTAGGAACATAAGCCGTCCCTGCTTCCAGAGCCCCATCCCAGATGGCTTCCCCTGCTTCTGCACCATCAGTTCAATCCTGTCCCCATTTTAAGAGGGCATCTGGAATGCCACACTACCAGGATATCCTTAGAGATGGAACCCTGCAATGCTGATTTGATTGTTTAATTAAAAAAATCGGGGGGTAAGTGCCTCCTTTGATAAACTGGTTATCGTTTGTAGCTAAGACAAAATAGGTTCCAAACAAACAGTTTAAAAACATTGTCTTCTTTTTAGCTAAAGTTCATTTAATTTAGAGTAAGGGTACATTAATTTGTTGTGCTCAATTATGCAGTGAGTCATGGAGAAAGATTACTAATTATAGGGTCACTGATTTTTCACAAGTTTGAAGGCACACAGAAGAAATATATTCTATTCAGACCAAGAGGTTTGTCCTACCCAAGTCCTTCTTTAATCGTCCCTGCTGGTTCACATAAGTCAGTTTGGTTTTAGTTTCAATGTATGTATCTTCTTGAAGTGCTTAATTTTGTTTGTGTTCCTCCAGGGAATTTTAGCTAAAAGCTTTCACATCTGTTATATCTGTGACACTGTTTTTTCCCCCTCTGGCTTCTTCCTCAGTATCAGTACACAGCAGTCTGCTCATCAAAGATTAATGCCAACCTTCCACATGCATTTACCCATTCATAGACTCTCCTCTTTCAGTGTAGCTCTTTGTTTTTGTTAATTCCCACTGGATACTAGTTAGAATTGGCCACATTTAACAAGATAACATTGGTTCTCTGTTCTCTTTCCCGATGAGTCAGTTGACTGCATTTCCTAATCAGTATTTTCATAAGCAATCTTCCCTGCTAGTTACTACTTGCTATTCATCCTCGGTTGTTGATCAAAACATATGGCAGTGTTCCTTTCCCCTTGACTGGATGCCTGGAACTTTTAGAAGTGAGAATAGCTAATGAGTTTTGCTGACTGGAAATTAAAAACAATAAACAAGCATTTGTGAATACATCAGTGCAATCTGTAGCAGCCATTAAGGATTTTGCAGCTACTCCTTAACTGCCTGAATGCTCTAGGGTGACACAAAAGCTTTTTAATTGCCTTTAATTGTGCTATTGTGTCTTTTTTTATATATATAAATCAGCTAATATTTTTACTTGGTAGTTCTTATCGTTGTATGTAGTTTATATATGAAAGGTCACAACCTCCCACAGTCACCTTGTCTTATCACAGTGTCTTACCACAGTCACAGTGTCTTATACATTTTGTGTTTTATACAGTGTCTTCTACAGTTTGAATTTCCAATTAGAAACGTGGGTTATCAATCATTCTGTATGTGATCATCGGTTCCTATAAATCCCCAAGTTCTTTAGTTTTCCTATGGGTATTCAGCATAGAGTTGAACAAGAAAAGTGTTACGGTGTAAAGCACTCATTACATTGATATCCTCCCAATCCTCCGCATCTTTCCTATGCTTTACCAAACTGTTTCAGTTAAAAGGTATGATACAATCAGTGAAATCAATATAAGCTTTGCCTGTACTAGATGTTAAACATCAGGAATCTATAAAGATGCTCAAGAGAATGCTGAATACATGTAGACATCTGTTTAAATCAATATGCTGTCACGTATACAAATATATATGTGTAAATGTGTATTTAAACCTTTGGTGTCTCTAACTCCAAAGTTGCTTAATCAGCAGGGACTGCAGATAATCTTTCACCTCTGATGCTGAGCTGTGAGTGAGAAACTGCAAGGTGTGCAGGAACCAAGTTATCTAGCTTAGACTTTTGCCTTCGGCAGCTGTCAGCACTGAGCGGTACAGAGGGCAGTTTAAGGGATATCACTGCAGACTAATGGAATTGGACACAGTTGAGCCTTTTTAATCAGAACTCCTTAAAAATTGACTTGAACGCTGGTGACTGAAAGCTTCAGGACCAGTCAAGATCTCCTCATTCTTTGTAAGTGTTTTTGTTGTTATTTGAACAGCTGAGTTCTGTCTAAATAATCTTAAGATGTGGTGTGCACTGGACAGATTTTGGGGACATAAGAAGTGCTCTTTGCTGAATGTCCTGCACGTAGGACATCCAGGTGGGGTTTGACAGTTGGTACTTCCAGGGCAAGGGAAGTACTTCAGTTGCTTTGGTTTCCATAACAACCTTGTGAGATAATCAGCTGCAGGCATGGAATAATCTACGTTATCCGCAGATGCTATCTCACTGAATACTTCAGTAATGTTCAGATCTAGCAGTTTAATAAGGGTCATGTTTAATTGCAAGTTGTGCATTTCATGCATTTCTCAAAGAGAGGTCTTTGCTAGGCACTGTAGTAATTGCCAGGAGCAAACATGTGAACAGAGGATTCAAACTTAAGACTCAATGCCGAGCAGATGAGCTCTGCCCCATGCCACTATCCAGTGTTAAACCTCCCATTTCCCTTCACGTAAAATAGCTTTTGTAGCGTTATCCTGAAAATTCTTTGTCTGGAATGAAATGTCAGAGATTACATGGCAGTGTAGGACTGCTTCCAGTGTATTAATATTCACATCATATTCATTAAGTTTACTTTGTCTCTACTGACGTAAGTGAAACCACTGGCAGAAAGTGATGTGAATTCTCTCCTGTAGCAGAAAGGCCCATGTTTGCCATCTTCGAAAAACAGTTTCTTCTCCTTCCAAAAGTACTTTTCCTTTTCCTGTTTTTTCTTTCTTTCTTCTTCCAGCAAGCATGAAACTTTTAAACAGAACCTTTCTGTGCTCCTAACCCTATTTCAGCTATTTCAGCTAGCATCTTTTTTGGTTGCGTAGTTCATAACCTTTGTAGCTCAGTTATCTCCTGTGGATAATATTTCCCACTTTTTAGAAGCCAATGGTCTTCTCTTGCATTTCAGTTCTAAATACTTGGAAGCATTTTTTCCAGTAACCGAGGTGACTTCTGTTGCTCCACGGATCAGAAGTGTCTACTCTGTTAATTAACTTCCAGCAACACTCGGTATGTTCCTGCCACTCCAGGGCTCCACGCACAACCAGAAATGTGAACCTTCTATCACGAAGGGCCATTTGCAGGATTTGGAGGTGTTTGCACGGACAGGTCTTCAGTAACGGCCGGCAGGAACCGAGCCCTGACCAAAGCCTGCTCCGTCAGCCACAGCCGCCACGACAGCTGACGTCAGGCTGCCTGCGCCCGGCCGCTCACAACGCGGGCCCCGCAACCTCCCCGCGCCTCACAGCCGCGGGACCGCCGCGCAGGCGCGGTGCGCAGCTCGACCCCTCCGGCTGCCCGGCCCCGCCTCCTGGCCCCGCCCAGCGCCGCGCCGCGCCTGACCTGTAGTAACCCCGCTTCGCCTCACCCCCCCCCGCCGCCATTCCTGCGGAGCCCGGCCCCGCGCGCCACCGCCCGGCGGCCAATCGGGAGGCGCCCAGCCGCATACGGGATGAGCGCGCCCGGCGGCGGGCGGCCGAGCCGGGGCTGAGCCGAGGGGTACGCCGGGACCCTCCGCCCGCGGGCAGCGCACCGGTGAGTGTCCGGCGGCCGGGCGTCCTCGTAGCGCCGAGCGGAGCGGGCGGCGCGGGGCCTGTAGCAGCTCCCGGCGGGGTGGCCTCACGGCGGCCATCCGGGCCGGAGTGGTGCTGAAGGTGCCGCGGCGGCGCGGCGGGTCAGGTAGGGCTGGACTGGGCTGGGCTCGGCTCCTCCAGGGGCGGCGTGCGCTGCGCTTTGTGTGGGGCGTCCGGAGCGGCGGTGAGGCCGGGCCGGGGCAGGTGGCGGTTCGGGGCCGGCTGTGCCAGCGTGGCGGGCGGCGGGCTCTGGCTCGGATTCTGGATCTGGCTGCGGCGGCCCCCGGCCCGGAGCTGCCCGCTGGGAGCGCATCGCGTGCGGGCTTCGTTGTGCGGTCCGAAACGCGCCGCCTGCGGGAGCCCAGCGGCTGTGCGCGCTGCCGGCCCGTGCTGCCGTGCTGCCTTCGCATTCCGAAGGGCTCCGTGCTGCTGCGGTGTGTGCCGCGGTCAGCCCGCTGGGCGCTGCCTTTGGCAGAGGTGCGCGGACAGGAGCGCGTTCCGGGGCCTCGGCCGTCGCCGTGAGCAGCGCCGGGCTCGGGCCGTGCGAGCTGGGCACGGAGCTTCTACAGTCACGAGGCAGAAACCGCCGGGAAAATTAGAACCGTGGGCTGCATGAAGGCAGCTGGAAGGAAGCATTGCTGGGTTGTCTTCTGAGCTTTTTGAAGCAGAACCCTCCCCAAAAAAGCCCCACCACTATGTAACTTTATATGTAATGGCATGTAATCAGAAATGGTGGGTGCCTAATCAGGTTTTGATGTGTCCTGAAAGGAAGGCAATAATCTGGGTGAACCCGTGAGACTTGATGTCCATTGCTATCTGTACCACAGTGAGCTTGAATGTCATATTTGCATGTCCTGCATGCCATGAGAAGGTGAGGAAAAGCATTGTTGCTCCTGGTGGTCACTTCATCATGTGTGCTTCAGGAGTGTCTGAAGCTGAACGCTGTGACCCAAAGGCTTACTTCCCTCTGTATGTTTGTGGTTGTGAGTCCCTAGAAACAAGAGGTAGAGCCATATCTGATGCTTTGTTTGATGTTGATGGCTGTCTGACAAACAGGGATAAACCTTGTGGCTCTGCTGTTCCCTGTGCTCAAGGTAGCTGAAGGGCATTGGGCACTTTGGTACAGGTCTGCTTCTGGTGACTGCTCAGAGCAGCTGGCTTCTTACTACTAGAAACAATGCCACTGGAAGAGAAGCAAACCTGCCACACTTGTTATAAAATAGTCTGTTTGATCCACAATAAGCTGTCACTTGTTTCTGAGAGTTATGTTGTCTCCAGGCGTCCCATTCTGCTCAGAGTGATTGTGAAAAGGATGAACCCTCAGCAAACAGTGACATCAGCTGATACAGGATATTTCACAGTTGTGTGTCTTGCTGGTGTGCTGTGATGTTTTCAGAGAGAGCTGGCTTCGGGCTGGGGCAGGATCTGTGCCTGGTGGCTATGCACAGGCCTTGGGCCGTGGGGTGAGCTGCCAGGGCACAGGTGCTGGTTCCTCTTCTAAGAATGGTGAGGAGTGCTTCTGTCTCTTTACTCTGTCTTGCTTGTGTGAAGGGTCCTAATTACGTAAGGCTGCTTGAGCAGAGCATCTTGGGATGAGTGTGCTGGCACATATAAGTTCTCAATTTAGGGTGCTTTTATAAAACTGTAATACTGATTTCTGTTTGAGGAACTTCTCAAATGAGGAGATCTGGCTCAACTGGAATCGTTAGAAACACCAAAAGGGCTCTTAATTGATAAGATTGATAGTCTTTGAAGAACTGGATGTGATGTCTTTGTGCGCTCTTATTTAAGACACGATCGCAGCCCGTGTTTACTGCTGGTCTGGGGCTTTTACTTTTCCTTTCAACAAACCAGTGAATAGTTTGAGCTATAATCATACTAAAGACCAAATCTTTATCAAAGGATCAGGAACAAAGCAGCATGTGTGGCTTAGGACCAAATGTGAGAGAACTGTGGGTGGAGCATTCATGTTCAAGGAGACCCAGGTATGGAGTTGTGTTCCAGAGGAGAACATGAAGAATTGGGTCCTGAATTGTTTAGAAATCTGCTTTTTGTTTAAAAGTACTTTTTTTTTTTTTTCCAGTGGAAGAGTAACAAAATCAAAACTTACCTTGACAAACTGCTGCTTCTCACCACAGTGATGAGACCAAAGGAGTAATGCAGCCTAAAGTGGTGCTGCTGGGCCTTACAGACGGGGTTCAGGTGGCTGCAATTACACCGAATCCACTTTTCCCAGACCATGGAGAAATCCAGTTGTTTTTGGAGAGCAGTTCAGAGAATTTATGTAAGATGCTGAATGGGGAGCTGACTGAAAGCCAGCTAATAAGAAATAGGAGGCAGAAGGATTTATGTGGAATTTAGGGCATCTGAATATGGCCCTAAGATGCGACTTAGTACTACTAAGTAAGGTGTATTAACACTAAGAAGACTTGGCTTTGATTTCTATCCATTTCGTGTGCTGTCGGTTACTAAGCAAACTCACCCTTTGCAGGGCTGTCCTGGTGGGGTGCAGCCCTGCAGCCCTACCACTGGGTCTCACCTGATGTCCCTGTGGCAGCAAATCATCCCCTTCCTCATGGCTCCAGAGCGTTGCAGTCCCATCTCCTTCCTTGGAGTTTTCGAGATGTAATTGTGCAAAGCCCTCAGAAGGGAGGTCTCATCCCCTGGGTCACCCTGCTTTGAGCTGAGGGTGGAACTGAAGATCCCTGCAGTCCCTTCCCCTCATAGTCACCCTGAGTCTCCAGGTAGCTGCTGCCTGCATGGTGGAAGTCTCTGAGCCGCCTTATTGAGAGCTGTGTGCTGTTCTGCAAAGCAGGTTTATTTCTTGTACTTGCAGGAATATTGCAAGCACTTCAGGCAATCTTAAGAGGCTCTCAAATGGCAAGGCGTTATTTGTTTAATTTTGCAGTTAGAGTTGAAAGAACTGCTCTCCATTCTGAGATCCTGATCTACATGGTGGCTTGCAGTGTAGTAAGGCCTGAAGGGCCCTTGAAGATTTCAGTACTCTGCTTCAAGGTGCACTTTTGAACATGTTGAAAGAAATGAGCTGGACAGGCTGTATCCCAGTTGCACCTCCTGCATGACCGTTATTAAATCCAGGGCTACAGGTGAAACAAAAATTGAAATCTCCGAAGAAAGCTCAAATCTCATTCTGCATTTGCTTCTAGATCAACTAGGGAAATACTATTCAGAACTCGTGAGTTGTTTTGCAGCAGTCTCCATTGATTCTTGGGAAGGAATTGCCTTCACAAGTGCCTCCTTGTCCCATGAACGAATCCCCAGTCGTAGTGCTGTTTGGTGTATGTAATCCCATAAGAGGAGGTGGCAGTTTGTCAGCACACGTGTTTTGGGAAGTCGTGTGTCAGTGTTTGTGATGGTTGTCATTTAGCAAGCCATGCTACCTCATTACAACATCTGATGTGGGACAGACCGGCTTCTCAGTTTCATTAGTTTCCTGAAAAGCAGGGAAGATAATGCAAGGCTTATCAAAAGTTACTGAATTGTGGCTTTTCACAGTCAAAAGCAGCAATAACTAAGTGCAAGCCTTTCCCTATTTCTCTTAAAAATTGGAAATGCGATACTCTGTTATTGAGTACTGTGTAAGCATCATCCTTGCTTGGAATGCTTATATCCACTAGATTAAGCAGTGTAAGACCTGGATGGGGGAAGAGATGACTTTGTGTTGATTAAGCAGTGAAATAGCAGTGGTACTGCAAATCCCATGTCCTGTCCCATATCTGTTTGCTGCTTTACATTCCTGTCTCTGGAAAACACTTCATTCTTCTGTGATAAACCCATTGTAAATGGAAAGTAGAAATGCCATCTAGCAACAACTTGCCTGTATCTTCAGAGAGAAAAGTATTCTTCCTTTCTCATCTTGCTCTCCAGAGCAGGATGTAGAACTTGCTATGTTTTATGCAGGTTGACAATTAAGAGACATGTGGGCAACCTCTGTGTCCGTGGAGATGCTTTAAGTAAAGCCTCTTCCTGAGGTTCGTTGCTTCCTGAGCAGACACAGAGCAGTTAGTGCAGTGACATGCATGTGTGTGTGTGATGACCTAAGTTTATCGGACCAAGCAAAGTGGTGTGACTTCTGAAAAGCAAAGTGAAGCAAAGCAAAGCGAAGGCACATTGTATTCTGTGAAACAGTGGAGCATGCTCTGCAGTTGTTAAATCAAACTTAGTAAAAATCAAAATGCACAGACTCATTCTCTGGGAACTTAAAAGAAAAAGTTAGAAAGTAGAAGATGTATGGTGAGTTGTTAACAGTTGGTATGTGTGTAATTTTGTGTTTGGTAAAGAGGCTATCTGTTATCTGTGTTAAAAAAGTTTAGTGTGTGTGAAAGTTAGAAGGGAGCAGGGAAGAAACCAGAAGTTGAGAATGCTTTGTGGAAGGGTAGGAGTGGTGTACACAAAGATCTATAATGCTTCTCTTTTTGTGTCTCCAGACATCATAAGGATTTGTGGTGAGTATTGAGGAGGAGAGGGGGACGGTAAGGCAGCAGGCGTAGGAAGAAGGCAGTAGCCTCAGCAGCACTAGGGCAGGGAGCTTGCTTGCATGTGTGGGAAGATGTGAGCTGCATCTGCTCTGCTGTCATAAAGTTCACAGTGATTTTGGAAGTCCTGTCACCAGGGCTTGTCATGCATGTATAGCTGTGTGTTTAATGGTTCTGATGAACCGTAGAGTCATTGAATGGCTTGGGCTGGAACAGACCTCAAGGATCATCAAGTTCCAATCCCTTGCCACAGGCAGGGTTGCCAACCTTGCACTAGATCAGATCAAGTACTAGATCAGATTGCTCAGGGCCCCATCCGTCCTAGCTTTAATTGCCTCCAGGGCAGGTGGGGCATCCACAACTTCTCTGGGCAACCAGTGTTCCAGCAGTGCACCACTCACCCAGTAAAGAACTTCCTCTTGACATCTAGTGTAAATCTCTCCTCCTTTAGTGTTAAACATTACTC